AAAAAAAAAAAAAAAAGGGAAAAAACTCCTCAATTCAGCTTTTCTGGGCTTTTCCTCAACAATGCAGTTTTTAATTTTCTTAAAACTTCTTCCTTGTAGCTCCTGTGATTGTCCTGTGTCCTTTGAGGGAAAAAAAATCTATCAAAATTTCCCCTTTGGAATCTCAAAGAGTTGCCAAACCTTTCCACACTGACCTCTCTGTCATGAATTTAATTGGCACAGTAGATCCTCGTGTAAGCAACTGTTTTGATTGGTTCTCCTTGTGGAAGGCACCTTACTCAGACTAAGATAAATGTATCATCAAGAAAACTGGTCTGCAGTCATGCACGGGTCACAGAGGCATGTTTAAGTACATTTTGTTTGTAATAAACCCACCCATGCATGAACTGGAACTCTAGTAACATTACTGCTTTACTTGCTTATAAGTCAAACAAAATTTTATAAGATACATAGTGTGTAAAGAAAACAAAAAGATGAAATTAATATGTGTATTTGCCACTCAAATGAAGAAATAGAAAATTACCCACTTTAAAAATCTCCTACTTGAGTGGCCCTCTGTCCCCTCTAAAGATAACCATTATCATAAATTTTGCATTAATAATTTTCTTGCTTTTTCTTATGATTTTACAACTTATGGATATAACATTAAATATCTGATTAACCAATGTTTGCAGTAGAGCACAAGCTACATTGATTTTGATTATTGATATAGTTGAATTAATTTCAGTATCTTACTTTGTTCTTCATATTTCCTACTTTTTCTGCTTCTCGTATTGCTTTCTTTTATATTGATCTTTTTTGTTTTTTCCCATTTCCCCCTTCCACCGCTTGTATACTTTATTAAACTTTGGCATGTGTATTTAACAAAGGCCAGAGCCCATATTCTATCCTGTTCTTCCTATAAACATAAGCAGCTCTGCTGATTGGGTTAGCAGTGGACTACTAACCACAAGGTCTGCAGTTCAAACCCACCATCTGCTCCTGGAGAGAAAGATGAGGTTGTGTGTTCTTGTAAAGACTTACAGTCTCAGAAACCCAAGTATATAGACTCGCTCTGAGTCAGAATCAAGTCGGTGGCCGTGGGTTTGGTTTGGTTTCGGTTCTCATCAACACAAGGACCTTGAAACACTTCCACCAGGGTTTTTGGAATCATGCCGTCTCATACAGAAAGGATTCTTTACATCAAAGTCAGAAACCACAGCGTTTGAAGTCAGTTTTGTTTGGTTCTCTTTTGACAACATAGTCACCCCCTCTTGGGATGAGCATGGAGAGCAAGGGTATGAGTGTTAAGGGAATGCAGCCCGCTGGAGCTTCCCTCTCTATCAGTGTTTTTAAAACTTTCTGGTAACGCCCATTGGGAAATACACTACCAGTCCTTTCTGTCAAGGACCTCTGAGTGAACTCCATCCACTAACCCATCAGGTAGCCGCCGAGCATGTTCACCGTTTGCATCACCCAGAGACTCCTAATGCTTAGGAAGCAGGAGGCGAATGCCAGTCTTATAAGATGCGGAGCTCTAGCTCCAAGGTCAGCAATTCAGAAACCACTAGATGCTCCGGGAGAGAAAGAGGAGGCTTTCTACCCCTGGAAAGAGCGCCAGTCTTGGAAACCCGCAAAGCCAGATGGCCTTACCCTATCCTATAGGGGCTCTGTGAGTGGGAATCCATTTGATGGCAGTCCGTATTTTGTTTGGGGGGTTGTGGTTTTCTTGGAGGTGGGCGTAGTTATAAGATACCCGAGTATGCAGATAAGAAAGTGAAATAAAACATGGCCTTCCCATGTTCATCCAGGAGGCTCCTCCCAGCAGCTGCGAGCCTCTAACACACCCAGGTCCCCGGCTCACAGATGAAATTTGCTTTGCAGTTGTCAAAACAAATCCTCATGTATCCCTTGATGTCAATGCCTGGAGGGGGTAAGAGTGGGGGCACAGAGGAGATGGGGATGGAGCAGTCCCTAAAAAAATGATAACTGGGGCTCAGCACCTGTTGTTTCTCTTCCTCTTCCTCCAGGGGCATTTGTCGTGTGCTGGACACCGGGCCTGGTGGTGCTGCTGCTTGACGGCCTGAACTGCAGGCAGTGCAGCGTGCAGCACGTGAAGCGCTGGTTCCTGCTCCTGGCGCTGCTCAACTCGGTCATGAACCCCATCATCTACTCGTACAAGGACGAGGACATGTACAACACCATGAAGAAGATGATCTGCTGCTTCTCTCAGGAGAATAGCGCCAACCCCGAGAGTCGCTCCTCCCACATCCCGTCCGGGGCCCTCAGCCGGAGCGACACGGGCAGCCAGTACATGGAAGACAGTCTCAGCCAAGGCCCCGTCTGCAAGGACGCTTCCTAGGCGTGGACACAACCTCGGCCCACCCAGGCCTCTATTAAGAATGGCTACTTGTCCCCCACAAAGCCCGTGTGCAGTGTTATTTGAGGTTTGAACCAATCATTGCTAGATTAAAAAAAAACAAAAAACTTAGTTGAAAACACGGGCAATAAAGAGGACATAATGGAACAATGTAGAGAAAGGGGGTGGAGCCTGCTTGTTCCTGTGTGTACGAACATCTATCCGCCCCCCACCGTGCTTCCTGCCCCACCCCGCACCCCGTGCTCTGGTAGCCCTTTGCTGTGTCTCAAAGCCAAGGATGCTATTCAAGGGCTTAGGCCCAAATTAAATAATAATGCTACTTGAGCCACTTTCTGCAGCTGTTTTCTCTGCATGCGTTTGAAAATTGTAACAGTGCTTCACCGATATTTTTCCCTCCTAGAAATGACAGACCGCTAGTTTGATGCCAGACAGGCACCTAAGACTAACAGGTGAGTGAGGGCTCCAAAGGAAGCCAGATTCGAAAAGGAAAGGACGTTCTGAGTAGCAAACACTTAAACTAGTAAAGCCGTTAGCTGTCAGAAAGCCTTTTTTGAAATCAGAAAGGCCTTAAGTACGGCCCTCTGTATGTGTATATATGCAGATGTGTATTTATACAATTAGATTTTTTTTAAATTTAAAGACATCAAGGACAAAACAAAAGACAAAGAGTTGATGCCAACTCAGGGTGACCCCATGTGTGGCAAAGTAGAATTGTGCTCCACAGAGATTTCAGTGGCAGACTTTGGAATTGGATCACCAGACCTTTCTTCCAAGGCACATGTGGATGGAGTAGAACCTCTAATCTTGAGTTCAGCAGCTGAGGCGTTAACAAAGTCACTTTCCACTTCTAGACTGTAGATGTTGAAGTGCCCTGCTGTGCCTTAAAAGAGATTGAGCCGCTTCTTTTGAAAGAAGGCACTTTTACACATTAGAGTAGCGGGTCCATTGAAGGTGGGTGAACCCCTTTTACAAAGGAGCAAGTGTGTGTCAGACGCGAGTTTTTATTTTCCGTTACCTCTAACTATTGAAGGCCTATCAGGTTTAGTACAAGGAATTATTTTCACATCTCATATTCTTCCCACAGCTATTGATATATCTGTAGTGCTGGTTTTTCTCATGGCCTGAATTTTGATCTGGGTTGTGTTTTGAATGTTTCTCCTTCAAAGGCCCAAAGTAGGTGGCATGAAAAGCAAGTCAGTAAAGGTTTTAAAAAATTAATAATAATACTTCACACATAACCCGCTGACCAGAGTTTTTATGTGAAACATTTAGAGTATATTCTAATTTTAGAATAAGAATAGCTTCAAGGCAGATATTTTAGAATGTATGTAGCTTGCAAAAGAAGTTTACATTTTGTTTGCTATTGTGATGTTAACATTTATGTGCAAGAACTACTTATAATAAAAAATTTGAGAAGTCATGCTTTTAGATAGAATAACCTCACATAGAAAGTATTGATTTTAAGTAGATTTCACAAACTCTGTGTAGTAAGTGGGTCTGTGTGAAGCTTATGGCAGAGCAGCCTATAAAATAAAATCGACATCTGTGCTCTGTTGTTGAGGTGCATTCTTGCTCTGTGGGTTTCATAAGTGAAAATATAGTTTGGGTAACAATAGCACATTTCTATCACAGAAGAAATATCAAATGTGCCATGCAGTACATACTCGGAATGTTTTATGTGAACATTTTGAATCTACAGCTGGCCAAAGGGTGGAGAATGGAAATTGAATTCCAGTCCCTGAATAGCTACTAAGGGATCTTTAAAGATTTTCTTTTGAGGGAAGCACCATTTTTAGTTCTCTGCAGCTGAGTATCATATTCAGACTGGTGTCTGGAGGGGATCCAAAGTGTGCCAACTCAGAGTGGAAATATATAGCTTTGGTTTGTATGCACACACACACATCACAGTGGTGGTGCGAGAGCACAGAAGTTATGTATATTTGGAATTGATAAGTGGCAGAATAGAACACTCAGCAAACCTATTTCTTAGAAGAAGAGAAGAAACAAAACCCTCTCTCCAATCTTAGCACCTCAAACTCATCTGCAGATCATCAAGACTGTAATCTCACTCTACCTCTGTCAATGAGTCGATTCCGAATCCAAGCGGCCCTATAAGCCAGGGTAGAGCTGTTCCTGTGAGTTTCTGAGCCTAGCCCTTTATGGGAGTAGAAGGCCTCGTCTTTCTCTCATGGAGCAGCTGGTGGTTTCAAACTACTAACCTTGCAATTGGTAGACCAATTTGTAGTAATGATACTGAAAATTTGATCTAGACTTTTTTCATGTGAGCTGTTGGCCCCATACTACTTCTCAATCAAATGAGATGGTGATTTTTTTTTCCCTGGAGTTGGCATGCTGGCAAGAGTTTCTCATGACTACATTGATGAGAGAATTTGGTCCTCTGTAAAGACTGCCAGCTTGGAAAGGAGGACAGGTTTGAAAACGAATTGTTGGAGTTTCTGGTTGACTTTGATGGACGGCAGTGAGTGGTAGACTGGGGGCCAGATCATCACTGTTAGAAGCATAAGTCCAGAAATGATGTTGGCAATGTAAATCAGAGAATGCAGGGAAGCATCTAAGACAGCTCTTATTTTCCTTGTAATCATTACTTTGGTGCCTTCTCCAAATGCTAAGTGGCAGGTTTGTAAACTGCTGGTTTCCGGCTTTGCAGGCCCCTAAGCCCATGCTCAGTGCAGTGCAGGCTTGGATGACCCAGGCCTGCCCAGACTCGGCAGCTCATCTGCTGTGGCTGCATCTGTAGACTCCTGTGTCTGTAGACCCCTTCCCCTCATGAGCCTCAAACTCTTAGAGGTCATCAACCCTCTAGTGGTCCATCCTGGGATGCATGGGGTACAAAAAGATCCTCGGTGGCTTAAAACAGCCACTAACCAAGTGCAGAGAGAGGGAGGCCAGGAGAGGCCTTGACAACCCCCCGGAGCAGTTTTGCCGTGCACACATCCTACTGACTTGACGGCAACTGGTTTGCCGTGCCTCCTGTTAGAATGGCCTGACGTGGCTGCACGCCCTGGAAAGACCCCAGGTGAATGCTACTCAGCCACAAACTCAAAACCTGTGGAGAGCCTGGAGTGACAATGAGCACAGTAGCATTCCAAGTGATGTGGACGGAAAGAACTGAAGATGCCCACAAAGCAGATCTGACTTCTGGGAGGTTTGCCAGAGAATTTTATTTCCTTGGTTAACTACTAAATGTGAAGTTCAACCGAGAAACCCCAAGGGGCTACCCATTTTGTAACTTGTCTTCAGTCCTAGGAGTTTGGGTTAGCCCTGTTCAAAGTAATGGAAGCTGAACGTTGTGGGAGGGAGGCTTTCCTGAACACACCACGCGATTTAAGAGTCACTTTCACAAAGGAAGACTTGTTCGGCGGGAGATCCTGGGACTGAGAGTTTTTTTGCTGTAGTGCAGGGGTGTCAAACTGGCGACCCGCGGGCCACGGGCGCCCCGAGGTAATTGTTTGTGGCCCGCAATGCTCTGAAATAAAATGAAAATAGAACAAATTGTTATGAAGAAAATAGTGCTTAGGGGAGAGCGAGGCAATACTGTACACACAGTTCCCTCGTTAACCCTTTAACTACTGAAGACGAGTACACACGTGGCCCAGTGCCTTTTCTGGGGGCCTGTGGACGCGCATAAACGCGCTGACTCAGTTCCGGCGACGTCTGGAAGCGATATGTCTGCCACTCTCAGTGTCTCGTCATGGAAACAGATCCCAGTAGCGAAACGGTTAAAAAGAGCACTCTGGGTTGTGCTGTATGAATCACACCTAGCAGCGGCGCTAGTTCACATTTTTAGAGGGAAGCCATTACGATTGTGCATCGCGTTTGTCAGCTGTCCAACATTTGGTGTTTTCTGTTAGTTACTTTGTTATATTTTCCGGTCACAACATACGAGGTAAGTGAAAACTAGTAGGAGGAAAGCGCTGTCAAATGTCAGGTAAAAAAGAATAATTTTAGTTTGATAAATACATTAAATAAAATAAATGTTTAAGTAAAAGCACTTATATAGTATTTTAATTTTCCTATCCATATTCCTGAATCCTCACTTCAAAATATAAATTTGACACAATTTGTAAATGTGATGTGGCCCGCGTGAAAATTACCTGCTGCACCAAATGGCCCACGTTTCATTGAGTTGGACACCCTGCTGTCGTGATATCTTTCATTTTTTACAGCCGCCTCTCCTAAATTAGCAGATGGCACACTATTAATAGCGGTGGCTTGGGGTTGGAGTGTTTATGATCTGTGACTTCTGCTCTGGTGTTTACAGCACTAACTGTAGCACTGAAGTCGCTTGAGGAAGCTTCCATCAATGGGGGTGCGGGTCAGCTCATCTCCCGTATACACTAACACCTCGGCATGCTGGTACATGAACACGGTTTGCATTCACTGAGCCAGCCAGCTTTCCAATTTGCAACTCCTGCCAACTTCTTGAGTTGCAGTTTTATGCAGCAAGACTGTATAACTTTCCTCCGGATCAGCAATTTCAAGTTTGCGTAAATCAACTTCCCATGAAAAGTCTTCTATGTATTGGAGACCGGTGCCTGCACAGTCTACATGACTAGTAAAATATGTTGATATTTAAAGTTAAAAAACAAAAAGATGGCACTTTACATCTTTGTACACAATGGGGAATAACACCCTTCCATCCTCATGACACCTGCATCTATCAAACATTATCTAGTCCGATGATTTGGTTAGAATTTGTGTCCCCACGGTAGGTGTGGACAGTTGCACAATGCACTACCCACGCAAGTGTGTATGGAAGGGACGAGACTGGAATTCCTAAGTCTTCGCTCTGATTCCTGTTCTGATCTGAACTGCCAATCTCTCCATAGGATTGCTCATGACCCAAGTGCACGGCTTAAATTCAAGGTGCTCTAAGGACCTGCCTAGCTCCAAAACCCTGCGCTTCTGTGTGTGATTCTCCAGGTGTGAATCTTTGGAGAACTCCAAGTCTCGGACTTCCCTGGGCTTTCTTCCTTTAGTGGTGATTTTAGAGAAAAGGGGCTCTTTCTCCTTCTTTCCCTTCAGGACAGTGGCTCCGGAGCTGTAGCCAAATCAGAATCACAGCTAGAGCGGGTTTGAAATGAAGAATTCAGACTGGGGCTGTAGTCAGCTCCATTCTTAGCAAGACCTGTCTGGATTAGATGGGCTAACTACTTCCTGTTGAGTTGACTCTCACCGTGGCCTCTTATGGGTGAGTCTAGAATTAGGTCCCAAAGGGTTTTCACCGGGGCTGATTGTTTTGAAAGTAATTGCCAACCTCTTCGCCTGCGGTACTTAGCTTCTCCAGCCTTTCGGTTAGTAGC